CTTGCAATCAGCTCTACTAATTGTTCGGATGAATAATTGTATTGCAAATATTTTGCGTTGTTGTCGATTTGTAATTTTCTCTCTGAGATACCCATCTTCTCATTGTATTTTCCATTTTTCAATTTCTTATTTACTTGCAATTGTTGGATTTTTCCCCAGAAATAACTCAAAAATTTTCGTTCAAAGTTTTGCCAACTGTCAAATTCTTCTTCTTTGCTATTAAACCATAGACTGGTCTCATCTTTGAGATGGTTTCTGATGATTTCTTTTGCTGCTTCGAAATGTCCGATGTATTGTACTTTCTTCTTTAAATTATTTTTTAAAGACACTGGGTGTAATTTTCTTACATCCCCGCCAAACCTTATTTTCACGTCCTCTGTACTATGGATAATCGTTTCTCTTCTTTCTCCGACATTTTGTTGATTTTTGATATCCTTCAATTCTTCTTCTATTTCTCGCATGTCTTCTTGCAGCGCGTTTTCAAATTTAGATTCTAAATTCTCCAGGTACTTTTTCTGACACTTTCGTATCTCCTTCATTTTATTTTGGATTTCTTCCACTTTCCTTGAGGTTTCTTTCATCTCTGTCTCTTGTTGTGCATTCTTTAGGGTTATCTCTTCTAGCTGTTGTGTCATTTCTTTCTTTATCCCCTCAACACAAACTTTAATTTCCTGCTCATAATTTTCCAGACGTTGTTCTATATTCCTGTTATTTAGTTCTATTGCTTGTCTCGTTTCCCGTTGGTTTTCGTCCATTTTCCTTGAGGTTTCTTTCATTTTCTTTGACGTTTCTTTCACGTTTTCTTCCATTGTTTGTTTTGTTTCCTGTTGATTTCTATCCATAGCTCGATTTGCTTCATCCATTTTTTGTGATTGTATTTGCAACAGTTGTAATAATTTCTCTATTCCTGATTCTTCCTGTTTTTCTGTTTCCATGATTGTTGTGTTTGACACGTCTTCCTGGTCTGAATGTTCTTCGTGTTCTAATTGTTTTTCCTGTTTTTTGTTTTCTTTACTACTGTTTCTTATGTTGGGCATTTGTTATATTATTATCCCCGCCAAATATGAAATTTGAATAGTATGTTGTACAGACAAAACTTTTCTCACCCAAATGTAATCAATTGTGAATAAATATATCAAATGTAAATATCAATTAAATAAATCAATTATGGGAAATTTGTATCTTAAGAAATATAAAATTTTATGTCAACTGTAAATATCTCACTTTTAACCATGGGCATATAAATTCCTAACTACCGGTTTGTTTTATCCTATCCTTTCAAATTTGCCACAAGAAATATTTTTCAATGCTTTTCACGTTGGGGGACATGTTGTTGAGCACTATTTTTGACTCTATTTTTACTTGTGAAAATAATTTACTCCAATTAAATAATTTACTATCTAATTATTCAAAATCAAAACAAAAAATTTATAAATTATATATCTCAGGGCTAATTAATAATTTTAGTACTTACTTTGTTTCGTAGGTTCAAAAAAGATTTCTTAGTGGCTTCCTAATAAAAGGTTAGGTAAAAACGACATAAATAATACACAGGAATTTCAAAGTTGAAATAACAAAGTTCGTTTATTTTATCAATTTGTATTAAATGTTCAGTCATGTAAGTTTTTCAATGACTCCTTTACCTTTTATTGAATGTAACCAATATTAAAACTATGAATCTTGTTTTCTTTTGTGACCCAAATTAGTTTGATATGAAATATTTTGATTTATCAATATTACGGATAAAAGAAATTAAGTATAATGATGTCTAAATGATAACTTTTTCTTGAGATATAAATTTTTTTTATATAATATTGAAATGTTTATTTAAATATGCACTGTGGTATTTAATATGCAAAACCATTCATTTCTGTCATAACAAATTAAGACTGACCTTTTCACTATAGCTTCGAAAATGTCCTCATACCAAAAACAATTCTCCGTAGTTGCTGCTGTTGCGATCCAAAGAAACTTGTCCACGTTTCCCAAATATGTCCCTGCTTGCTGTCACCTCGTTTTCCTTTTCCTGCTATGCCTCGTACCTGCGCACTCGTTCCGGCTTTCTCCTGCTTCAGTATTCCCGTCTTTTACAGTACTTAACGATTTCTGTATGCTTTAGATTCAAGAAGTTGTATTATCTCTCAACTTGACCTAATTCTTCGTTTTAATTATCTCACACTGGTCACTTTTGGACAAACAATAACCCGCAATTTCCTTTTTTCGTACATTAACCACCAAACAGGACTCTGCCTTTCAATTGAACAAAACAGACTGCCTTTTCTTCTCATTCAATCTCACTCCTTCTCCAGTTCTTCAGTTTCTTCAAAACAACTTTCAGTCATGACGTATTTTTCTACCAAACTATTTTCTCTTTTCAAAAAATGCCATTAGGTATTTAAAAAATAACAAAATCTCCAGCTATCTTAATCCTAATCTAAACATCAAACGTATTTTTTCTATCTTTACAAATAATAATATCCAGGTATAATTTAACTATCGATAATGTCTATTAACTGTATTTCTTGAAAAGTAAATAATCGATTATTTTGTTACATATATTTACCATCGACATAGGCTTTGGGTACTTAGTTCAAACAACAACTTTCGTATCTAAATCACCTATTCTCTAATGTGGACTTTACTGTTTCTGGGGCTAATACACAATTCCGCCAATAAACTTTCTTAAAACTAAATATAATCATCTGTACACAATTTTGTCTTATACAGGGTGTTCCAAAACTGATATGCTCGTGGTTGAGAAATATAAAAATATAAAAGTTATTATTTAAAAAATATTGATATAGGCTTTTAACTTCTCATGTCAAATTAAAATCTACAGCAATATATATATATATATATATATATATATATATATATATATATATATATATACAGGGTGTAAATAGGTAACCCCGTCTCTAGGGTAGGTAAGAAACTGAAAAATAATTGGGGTTTGCTTAGTAAAAAATTTTTGTAACGCCATCCGTTTTCAAGATACAGGGCGTTGAAGAAAAAAATGTTACGCATTTTTTACGATTTTGCCGAAACTACTGGGAACATTGTAATGAAATTTTATACGAATATGTTTTGGAAGCTGATATATCCTATGAATTTGTTTTTATATCTGATTCTCATAGAGGGCGCTAGTTACACGGATCGTACTAAATATTAGTCAATATAACTTTTTTAAGAGTATAATTATTGATCAAAATTTCAAGTAAACTTAAACATCATTCAATTTTACACGAAAAAGGTACTCTTGGTAAAACTCGATACTATGTACCGTTTTCGGAATATTATGATTTGAAAATTCTGAAGTAATAATTTTAGCTGGTAGTAATGATAAAGTTCTAATAGGTATACCTCTATTTTCTCCAAGTGTGCCATTGAAATCTGACATTTATTGATTGTTATGACGATAAATCAACAATAATTAGAGTTTTGAAACCTTGTTATTTGTAAAATCAAATCAAAATGTAATCAAAGGTTGAATACACTGACATGTTATTAACCTTGGGCGAATGTTTAGGATATTCTAGTGCAGTTGTGACACGTTATGCAGAAAAGTTTCCTAGAAGAAACTTACCAAGTAAAAAAACATTTAGAGCCGTTGAACAACGTTGTCGAGAAACTGGGAATGTAAGACCAAATAAAATAAATTCTGGTAGACCAAGAACAACAAGAACAATTTATAAAGAAAATAATATTTTAAATTTACTTGATCAAGATCCAACAATTAGAACAGCAATTACATCCTTATCATTACAGACAAGTCCAAGAACTCTTGCCAGATGTACCGGTTAGAGTGGATTTTTGTGAAACATTGCAACAATGGACAGCCCACAATCCAAACTTTTAAAATGCATTCTTTTTACGGACAAGACCACCTTTACGCGACAAGGTATGTTTAACTCCCATAAAGCACACTACTAGTGTGATGAGAATCCACGAGTCAAAAGGGTATCACATTACCAACACTCATTTAAAGTTAATGTTTGGGCAGCAACTTTAGATAACAAATTAACAGGTTATCATATTCTACCTGGAAATTTAAATGGTGATAAGTATCTTGATTTTTTAAACAATTCCTTATTCGATATATTAGATAGCATTAAGATATAGTTCGCTTACGAAACGGCAAGAAATTCTAATTCGAGTAGTCGCACGATTTGATTGCTTACTAAGGTCTGACGTATTATCAGTACCAATGAATTAGATATCTATACATGAATAGAGGAGTTGGGGGGAATGGGAGCCACCTAAAGAAATAGTTTTTTTAAACCATACTATTAGCCATTAAACAAATTTAAATATTAATACCTGAATTTACATGCATTTTAAATATTAATTTAATGTGAAACATTTAAGTTTTCATATTTCTAAAGTATGTTTTGTTTTTTATCCCGAGAGTACCAGAAAGACAAAAGATTATGCTTGGACAACTAAGTAGTATCTATAAAAAAGATTCATTACATTATCAAGTTACATTTGATGCATAGATTAGGATTGTACTGATATGTAAGTATTTTATTTTTATTCTACCTACTTGTCATAATTGACTGACTATTGATTAAGTCCTCTGTCTTACTCAAATAATTGATTGTTTGTTTTGTCATATACACATCTATTTACATATACCATGTATTTTAGCCTTAGTTTCTTGATGATTTGAAGATGCTGTAAAAGTTTGTAAACAGGGAAAATGATAGCTCATCATCATCATTTTACCAACTTTAATAAAAACCTATAACTGATTGTGAGTAGAAGACTTACTTTCCTACCATTCATGAATATGTCAATAAGGTGTCTGGTAGTAGTAACGAACTTTGAATTCATTTACCGTGATATGAAAATATATCACCCCACATTAATCGACTGGTGAATGAGTATAAGAAAGCTTATTTATTCATATATTAAATGTAAATATGCTATTTTGTAATTCGTATTCATATATCTTTTTTTTTCGTTCCCTTTCCCAATAAATAAACAGTAAAAAAAGTATTCACACAAGGTAAATATCTTTATTATGGAAAAATATAAATATATTTAACGTAAAATAAACTTCATTATCCACTAAATCATCACGGTTTTTTCTTATGTTGTTGAAGGTATCCAGGTTTCTTGAACCTCTAAAAGAATCATAAAGAACCAAATAAGCCATTAGGTTAGAACATATAATCATAATAAAACATATAACAAAAAGATAAATCTACATTACTACCACGTTCAATATTTCTCTGTTACATTTTTACATTTGAGACATATAGTATAAAAATTATATAAGTTACGGTGAAAAGGGTGAACATAATACGGTTTTCTTTGAAAATTACAGATTATATAAGTTATTTTCATCATTTTAAGGTAGGGGAGAGGCGGGAACAGTGACACACAGGGAACAGTGACACATTTAAAATCCTAGTAGAAAATATGTTAGCAAGTTGGTGATATTGTGGAATTTTACAGTTGGTATAATAAGAATACTACTTGTCTTATAAAAAGTTGACAGAATCTGTTGTGTTTGGAGAAAATCGCATGTTTGTGTTTTGTTAGTGCAGAAGTATTTTGTCAAGGGTGTTTTTAGTTGTTTACTACGAGGAAACAAACCTGAATTATTGGATTGTGTTCTGGGTCGTAAAAAAGTCGTATAAAATGTAAGTAATAGCAATAAAATTTCTTTAAAATCTTTGTAGATTAACAAAAAATTTACAAATTTTTGTATAAAACAGCATTGTGGGTACAGTGACACGAATATTGATAGGGAACAGTGACACGATGTGTCACTGTACCCTTCTTGTGAATTTCATAAAATCTTGACAGCAAATGAGTACTGGAAAATCATATTAGGGTCTAAGAAGCTTTTGTTAATTATGAATTTACATTACAGATGGTACGTCAGAAGAAAACGGATAAGACAGTGGGTAGATTCAATGAAGATTCTATGAGGGAAGCAGTCAATCTAGTTATCAGTGGTATATCAATTCGTCAAGCTGCTAGAGAGAAAAACTTAAGCTTTAAAACCGTAAGCAGATACGTAAAGAAATACAGAGATGATCCCGAATGCCGAATGGCTCCTAACTATAAAATAAACCAAATATTTTCTTTGGAACTAGAGGAAGCTCTCGTTGATTATATCATAACGTGTTCAAAAATGTTTTACAGTTTAACAATTACCGATTGTCGCAAACTTTCATATGACTTAGCGAAAGCAAATAAATTAAAAATTCCAAAAAAATTGGGAGGAGGAAAAAAAAAGCTTCAGTCGACTGGTATAAAGGATTTCGCCATAGACATCGTACAATATCCTTAAGAACTCCAGAGGGATGTAGTCTAGCAAGAGCAGCAGGATTCAATAAAGAAAATGTAAACTTATTTTTTAATAAGTTGGAAATAGTTTTGCAGCGACATCCAAATTTTTCAAATGGATTCAGAATTTACAATTTAGACGAAACCGGAACTTTGACAGTTCAAAACAATTCGACAAAGGTGCTAGCCAAAAAAGGCACTAGACAAGTGTCTAAAATTCAAAGCAGTGAAAGAGGTACACTTGTTACCACATGCTGCATTGTAAGTGCAAATGGAAGTGCAATCCCACCCGTAATGGTATTTCCGAGAGTCCATTTTAAAAGCCATATGTTGGCAGGAGCGCCATGTGGGACGTTAGGCTTGGCTACGAAAGCAGGATGGATGAACACAGAATGTTTTATTGAAGTTTTAAAACATTTCATTAAACATACTTGTAGTTCAAAAGCTAACCCTTCACTATTAATCATGGACAACCATGAGAGCCATATATCTCTTGAAGCTATCATTCTGTGCAAAGATAATGGGGTCACTGTTTTGACTGTGCCTCCTCATTGCACCCATCGGTTGCAACCATTAGATGTGGGTCTGCTAAAACCGTTTCATATATTTTACAACGATGCTTTAAGTTCGTGGGAAAAAGCTAATCCGGGCACACCTGTGACAATCTACCATGTAGCATCATTTGTGGGACTCGCTTACCCCAGATCTATGACACCTGTAAATATATCGGCAGCTTTTAAAAAAACTGGAATATTTCCCTTTGACCGTCACGTATTTAATGATGATGATTATTTCGCAAGCCAAGTTACAGAACGACCATTAGTTAATTCACCAAATATTGATCCAAAACCATCTACCTCGACAGGAGGTACCACAGATAACTCTATCAAGAACCAGGACGTAACTCCATTACAGAAATTGTCACCTTCATCCACAAGTGGAAGAAAATTGACATTTGTAAGTCCATCAGCTATTCGTGAATATCCAAAAAAAAGTCTGACAATTTCGGTTAAAACTAGAAGAAAAAAAGGCAAGACTATGATTGCTACTGACACTCCAGAGAAAAACGAAATTGAAAGTAATAGAGCCAAAAAAGCGAAAACAGTTAAAAGAAGCATAATCTCAGAAGACATTAAAAACAATGATGATGTTATTGAGTCGGAAGACGAAGATGGTAAAACTTATAGTCTCCATAATTCTGACACGTCAGAGGGAAGTGAAATATTTTCAGATAGTGATGATGAAGACCTATGTGATTTGACATTAGATCCAGCCAAAATTTGCGACATTAAGATCAATGATTTCTTATTAGTGAGACTCAAATATGAAGCCCATTCCAATAAAGAAATCGAAAAATATTATATTGGGAAAGTTGTGGTGATAAACACCATTGGTACGATGGAAGTCAGTTTTTTACGTAAAAATTCAAAAAATGTCACATGCTTTGTATTTCCATGTGTCACAGACATTGGTGTTATATTCAACAACCAGATTATAAAAATTTTGGACCATCCAAAAATTAGCAGGGTCGACACTTTTTTCCTAATGTTAAAACGGACTTGATTTCATAGAAAACAACAAGCATTTATAATATTTTTCTATAGATCAATAATAAAGATACGTTTTTATTGTTTAATTAGTCCTAAATAATAATACTTACATATTACAGTTGAAAAATGTCTTTGTGTCAGTGTACCCTTCATACCAGGGAACACTGACACAATGCAAAGTTTCAGACTTTTTTTTAAATCTATTTGTTTTCTTAATTTATAGCAATGTAGTCATTCATGATGTATTTGCAACACAATAACACGTCCAAATTGATATTTGCAAGTAAAATCCTATTAATGGTCTAGTGATGACAGAAATTCAAATTTTTCTGTGTCACTGTACCCACCTCTCCCCTACACGACCTCAACTTAATTTTTATTTTTTGAAACATTACGGTTTTCTATTTAATACAGTGATCTAAAATTGTTTAATTATTTCAAAAATGGAATAATTGATTATAGTAGTCATGGTATATTTTTTATAGGTTCTAACTTGATCTTCAACATTTATATTGTATAATATTCCACCATTTGCAGGATTAAAAATGATTTATAAGAATGTTTATGCAAATAATATTCACAATTGTCTATCAGTCTTTGTTTATCGACGAAAAAATAACTGTTGTTCTATGGACACCATTGTAAAGGAGGTATCGTAGCACGATTGCCAGTATAAAATATGTTCTCTGCCTAGCGCATTTGAAAGCATAGGAACTTTTGAGATATACAGAGAAACGATTACCCAAGGCAATTTAGGCTGAATAAAATAAACATTTAAATTTTGTTTATTCTATTTTAAGATAATCTAAGTGTTGTTCGCCGAAGTTTATGATAAACTAACGTTCGAATATATAAGTGTAAGACGCAGAATTAAAACATCAGGATGGAATTTGAAACAAGTACATGAATTAAAAGTTATCGTTCTTCAAAATTATTCGGTCGCCAAAAAGAAAGCGAAAGTGGCAGTAGCAAAAGCTAAAGTAGAAGTGTATACAAATCTATATGATGAATTTCATAGCAGGAAAGGAGAAACAAAGAGATATAAAATAGCCAACCAGAGCAAAGAAAGCCAAAGATTTTAATCAGATTAGATGTAACCGGAATGAAAATCCGGTTTGACAGTTTATTAAAAGAAGAATTTGAGAGATAAACCGAGACAGTAACAGCAATGGTGACCAAAATAAAATGAAGTGGTTCAAGCGCTTCAAAAAATAAAGAAAGAAAAATAAGTTTAAGCAGATCGTATTCTTGGTAAAGTGTAAAGAGCATTAGGAGAGACAGAAATAAAGTTGGTTAACAGTTTTATCTAATAGAATTACGGAAGTTAGACGAATGTCAGACGAATGACGAGCCGTATATTAGTTCCTGTTTACAAAACAAGCACGAACCATACTACATTGTAGAGGATGGATCTCTAAGAGTATTGCGAACAGCCATAAAGATAGGTACCTGGAACGTTAGAACAATGTACGAAGCGGAAAAAAATCTATAATGCCATTCAAGAAATGGAAAGACTCTCGATTAGTATTATGGGAATAAGCGAAATGCGCTGGGCAGATACGGGATACCGAGTTATCAAAGATCACAAAATATTCTACTCAGGAAATCTTAAGAACGAACATATAAATGGAGTGGGCCTAATTATGAATAATAAAATCGGCAATTGTGTCAGTCACTTTGTACCTGTATCAGAAAGGATGCTCTTAGTTCAGCTAAACATGACTCCCATAAAAACAAACATTATTCAAGTATACGCTTCTACAGCGGACGCCCCAGAAGAAATTATAGAAGACTTTTACAATGACCTTACTAATATTGTCAAAAGGATTCGGAAAAACGAAATAATACTAATAATGGAAGACTTTAATGCCAAAGTTGGCAAAGGATAAAGTGGTAATTTAGTGGGATCCTTTGGTCTAGAGGAACGTAATGAACGCGGAGACCGTTCGATTGAATTTGCAACTGAAGAACAGCTCGTAGTGACAAACACCTTTTATGATCTTCCTCCAAGACGACTATATACGTGGAAATCTCCCCAGGATACTCCAGATCACACAGTACGAAATCAAATAGACTATATTCTTGTTAACAAACGATTTAGAAACTCTATAACATCTGTTAAAGCGTACCCGGAATCCGACATAAATTCGGACCACAATCCACTTATCGCCAAAATGGAACTTAGTTTAAAGAAAGTTCAAACACCAAAAATTACGAAGTACGATATTAACCAACTGAAAAATAAAACAGTAAAGGAAAAGGTACAAAAACGCCGA